GCCAAGTAAAAACAGAATCACTTCTTGTTCTCCATTTTGATGAGGAGAACCATTAGTGAAGTGCCATCCCTACATGGTAGCTGCAGCAGTAGCAACCACCAACAAAAGATATCCATCATTCCTTGCACTAAGCTGATTTAAAAATAGGCAGGCTCTTAATTAGGCATTGACCAATGTTTTTGCAATAAAAAACTCCGATGTTCAAATGATCTCACACTCGCAGATACAAATTTCACTATCTTGACTCCACATTCAGTATCAAAACTAATGGCATAGTAGTACAAATTTCAAGATCTCAAGACCAAAGACCACCAGTGTGGCATCAACAAGAACAAAAATAATGTTGTTCTTTACTCTTGACCCTTAAGGAAATATTCTTTTAATTTTCTTGTTATAAAATGGTCCAAGAGTTACTGTGAGTTCAGACCAGAAGAAGGGAGCACAAAACAAGGCACAGAAAGGAGCTGTTGTATTTACTCATCAACCAACAAAATGCTAATTGTCCCCCCCCCCCCCCTTTTCTCTGGGGTTATCCGATTAACAAGGGACCTCGATATCCCCAAGCATTGCAGTAATTCAGATTAGATATAGATAAAGAGGTATTCCACTAAGATCCTTTTGAGATGGGAGTGATTGGTACAACAGCCCACTGAATCAATGGTGCCCAAGTCAAAATGTGAAGGTAATAGAGGGTGAGGATTGACTGTTGACATGAAATTCAAACGGACACCCAAAAGGTATTTTAGTGCTTCTCCAATGATTATCTAGATGGACTGTAAATGAGTAAGTGCAAATGGCTTGTTGGGATTCACTAATCTTAAGTTTGGCATGGCCAAAAAAGATAGCCCCGCCTTTCCAACTGGAGCACGACCTAATATCAAAAAGTTATGGACAGTGTTGTCAACTGTGCTGTGAACCCAAGTGGAGAGTGTGAAGTTATAGCGGATCTATCAAAGATTCTGATAAAAGTAGAAGATCTATCAAAGACAACACATTCAAATTAACGTTGTCAGCACAGTGTCATGATAGGGATACATCTGTGCAAAATCACGCTGCAATGCTTCTAATGGAACAACTCACAATCCCTCCAATGACCATATATTCAGTCAACAAATGGATTACCTATCAATTGAGAAATCTCCTAGCCAAGAAACATTTTAAAAGTCCATTATGTATGTATCTCAACTCCCCAAATCTCAACAAATTGGAGGTAGTTTCAAATATTCTTCTTCCCCTTGATTTAAAAACCACCCTCGAAAATCTCATTAACCATGTCACTTCTTGAATACAATTATGTGTCACCAAATCAAACATTGAAAAAGGAAATTGATCAAAGCCCATGCTTTTTACTTTTGCATCTTGTGTTTTTTTGGAAATGTGTTAGAGGGAGGGGCAAGTGTCAATATGAAGGAATGGTCTATATTAAACATGAAGGACTACTCAAGTAGTAAAGTTTAGTCTTATTTATATATTTTTTCTTTCTTTCCTTCTTTGGGGAAGGCAGGTGTTTATTACGACAGAATGAGCTTGAGACATCTTCATTGTCCTAAACACAAAGATTAGGTTGATTAAAAGAAATACTTTATCATCATACTCCATCTACAACCTATATGTTCAGCCTTCTGATCTGTCGATTCATCACAGTTGCAGTAATTAACGATAAAAAACGGCAGACACCTCTCTAAGACTCCAATCACAGACCACAAAAATCGGCTTTTGCATTTTCAAAAATAGCCACAAATTGTAACCTGGCTTATGGACAAAGTGCACAGATAGAATTTCCATGCAACTTAGTCGAGTTTAATCTATAAATTAGTTAACAACATACAACACCAGCTCCTCTTCCATCAGTCAGAATATTCCATTCATCACCAGGCAAAAGTCGAGGCTCAAAACCAATCTTTGATACAAGAATATTGTGATAGGAAAATTAATTTTCTTACTATTTCCCTTTTTTTCTAAACTAGCAATGCACCAAGTGCAGTGCACGTGAATAATCTTTGTTAAAAAAATTAATAAATAAGTATTTAGTATATATGTACTTAAATTACATATCATTTCAAATTTACCAAATTATTTTTTCATCACTCATGCTCTACTATAGAACTTTTGAAAACTTTGTATATTTTTAAGAATAGTTGTCAAATCGCGTATCGGAAGGTGTATCGCTATTTTAAAATAGTGTATCGTATAGTATCGTAAGATACGATGCAATTTTAAATAATTAATAAAAAAATATATATGCTTTTGAAAAAAAATCAGAGTCATAAAAACATAACATTTCATTAATATTCCACCTACTATTCAAGTCACCAATATAATTTACTAATATTAAAAAAAATAATGAAAGCTATCAAATTAAATTAATAGTATTTATGTATATTTAAAAGTAAAAGTTATAACGTAATGGGATAGTAAATATAATTTTTCATTCTTATAACAAAAAAAAAAAAATATTTGCACATGTCGTGACCCACGAACGAAGGCAGCAGAGACAGAGAGAAGAGAGAAGAGAGAAGAGAGAAGAGGCGAGAGGCGAGAGGCGATGATCGATGCCAGTGCTGGAGAGAGAGAAGAAGTAGAAGACGAAAAAGAACATACCTCGTGGTCGCAGCTCACAGTGATGAAGAGAGATCGTGAGACAGAGAAAGACCGTGAGACTAACAGGTTTGGGGTAAAAATTCAACCTGGGGTTTCATCCAAATTACAGGTTAGTGTTGTTATTTTTTTCAATTTCAAAATTTTATTTGATTTGCTTTTCTCGGGTGTTTTTGCTGATTTGGGGTTTGATGGACTGTAATTCTTGTCTTCATCTCTTGCCTTTTCTTTGACATTTTTTCTATTTTATGAGGTTGTGAACAATTTGGTGCGTAAAAAATAAAAAATTAAACAGAGACTTCGCGTATCGTTCATATCGTACCGATACATGTTGTATCGTAAAAACATACCGTGAATCGGACGATACAATGCAAAAATTATACATAACTATGATCCATATCGTTTTTCCTTCGTATCGTGACGTATCGTACGATACTAACAACTATGTTTTTAAGATTTATTGTTCTAACTTTAAAATAAATAATTAAAGTTCCATTTTGTTTTATAATTTAGTAATTCAAAGTGATTTTTTAGTAATGTTTGAAAATTAATTTTTTTTAAAAATTAATTTGATTAAGATTCTACTTATAAATTATTGAAATAAAATTTAATATACAACGCTATAATATGTATTATAAAGTACATAAAAATTTAAAAAAAACTTAAATTTTCACATAAAATGTTAACACAGTTTAAAAAGTTTACTGTGACTAAAAAATCATGTAAAACTATATATACATTATTTTTTATTTTAAAAATAAAATGGTTAAACATTTTGATGAAAAACAAAATTTACATATGTAGTCATAATATTTATCAGTATAAATAAAATGAATAATATTATATTGATAGAGTTTTTGAAGGAGTTTGTGAAAGTTTTTTTGAATATTTTGTTAAAACGTATAATAATGCATATATTCTTTAAGAGTAATATAATCAATCAAAAAGTTTCATAAAAATTGACATTTATAAATAGAGAATAAATAATTAAAAAATTAATTTGATTAAGATTTCACTTATAAATTATTGAATAAAATAAAAATAATTATCAATATACCAATCATATTAGAATCTTATCGCATTTAAAATTACCTAGATCAATTGGGATAAAATTTCATATACAATGCTATAATATATATTATAAAGCATATTAATTTTTTTTTAAAATCGAGTTTTCACATAAAATGTTAACACAGTCTAAAAAGTTGACTACGACTAAAAAATTATGTAAAACCATATATACATTATTTTTTTATCTTCAAAATGAAAGAATTAAACATTTTGATAAAAAATAAAATAATAAATATGTTGTCATAATATTATCTTTATAAATAAGGTGAGTAATATTATATTGATGAAATTTTTGAAGGTTTTTTTTGAATATTTGTTAAAACTTATAATAATGCATATATTTTTAAGAGTAATATAATCAATCAAAAAGTTTCATAAAAGTGATTTTTGATGTAATTTGAAGATTTAAATGCATAAGGATATAATAATAATTTAGATATTAAGTGTTGAAAGATAAAATAACCTTTAATTCTTTATAAGGGTAAAATAGTGAATCAAAAATTCTTCATGTTAAGGTACTTTTATTAGTAGTATAGATTTGGTAACAAGAAATTAGTGGTCGGTCTAACTATTATTACACTAGTTACTACGCATACATTTCAACAATGTTATCTATGGATCTATTTTATGCTCTCTTCTATTGTATATCCCACAAGTTCTCTCCAAAATCCAATCTTGTGCTTTTCCGCAGGCTAGCAAACAGATTTGCAATGTCGATAGAGGAAAACACTCGCCTAACCATGGCGTCTATCTGTCAGGAAGCTTTAGGAATTCCGAATGTACATTAAAATCTCATAATTGAGAGCATTTACGTAAGAAAGGACATTTAGGGAGTGCTGGGCAAGTCAAACAAGAATGGTTGAGCACAGATCCGTGTCATGTACCCTTATATTAGTGCTAGAACAGGTATCTGATGCATTAGGGTCCATTTGATATATATTTCGTTATTCAGCCCTCATGATTTTCTTTGGATCCAAAAAATAGGTTGTGTCAAACAATTTTCCTTGTTGTCTATCTGATAAGGAACTAGTGAAGAGAAGCCATTCCACCAATGACAAGCCATAAACTTATGGAAACAACAAGGAAGATGGGGTCAAAAGAATTCCAACTCCAACTGATTTGGATTTACCAAGACAAAGTCTCTATTTCTGATCTTCTTCCCTAGGTGTCCAAATAATTTGGCTTGTCAAAAGTTGCCTGAAATTTCCAGAGAGTTGTGGCAGACCAACAACCCAAAAAGAGATAGTGCAATCATCCCTAACTTACATACAGGATATGTAATGACTCATCAATTACAAAAAGGAAAAAGCAGCTGGAGAATGCATAATGATCCAAAGTCAAAGACTCAATACACAATTTTGCATGACAAAAGTTAAAGCAGAAATAAAAATACACATATGATATGTACTCTCTGGAACAATGAGGATTAATACCTGCTCAACTTCTAAAGCTTGGTCTCAAATACACTTCATATACCAAATGTGAAACCACTTTGATGTAGGAACACAGTATCAAGGAGATCATAAAGAACCACCACTTCCTTTCATGTAAATTCTGAAATTCGTTTCATTATTGGTCGCCTAATTTATTTCCAAGTCCATCCTTAGCACCAAAACTTGAGTCAAATTGTCAATCCTCCCCTGCAAACCTGTAACTTCCATCATGTTGCAAACTCATATCATACACTTCTGAATTCGAACTTTCAAATTCCTCCAAACCCCTATCCATGCTAAGCTCTGCATCACTATCACGCAATTCGCGAATGCTCCTATCTTTTCTTTGATACAGATCACCTTCTCCTGAACCCAACCCCTCCGAATCACTCATATACTTTCTTCTCTTCTCATTCTTTCTAAACTTACCCTTCAAACCCTTTCCACTCTTAGCCTCATTCAACAATACCTTTGATTTTTTCAACCCCAAATCATCCACATTTCCTTCACTATACAAGTCACCTCTCAAATTTCTCGAATTCTTATCATACCCATTTCTGTTCACCCTCATTTTCCCTTCCATTTCTCCCTCTAGGTTTGAGTTACCCAATTCATCGACATCAACGTCCTTATCAATCTTCCCATACGGCTTGATACTATGAACAACACCTTTGGGAAAAAACCTAGCCGAGGGAATTTCATCCACAGTCTCAAACAGCTGAGGCCCATCTCTCTCAGACCACAAATCGAACCCACCTGGCATCTGAAACCTATCAGCCAAAACCTTTACCTGTTCATCGGCGCTCACAGAGAACAAAGTGGGTGCTTTTTCAACAACCTCCCAAGGCCTCTCGAGCTCCGATACGGCTGCTTTGAGTTCGGCCCTTTTACGCATTTCATAGATACTGCGTTCACGAGCCAGTCTGGCCTTAAGGAGCTGTTTGGCTTTCTTTTGTTGCATTCGCTTCCATTGCCACTTTGATACACCTCCTGGATAGGTTCTCGGACCACCACCCATACGAATCGTCGTCGTCGTCTTTAAGGGGATGTTAGGGGTGATGGTGGTTGTGAGTGAGAGGTGAGAGAATTTGTAGGTGAGGAAGATATGGGTTGGGCCGGAGAGGACTTTGGAGGATGAGAGGCTTCGTGGGGGTGTTGGTATTGGGAGAGATGTTTGGAGAAATGACATTTTTACGCTCTGCAACCCCAACCTTTGAAATGAGATTGAAGATGAGAAGCTGAAGATGAAGACGACTGGCCGCTGAACTGTGACTCTTCGAGTTGTGGTTTGGGCTTTTCTCTCCAGAATCTGCAAAAGTACGGATTGGGCCTTGGTGATGGATTTCCAAAAAAAATGGATCTAGCTGGCCCCATTGTGAGGCCTGTGTGTGTGCGTGAGAGAGAGATACAGAGACGAAAGCTGTAGATGAAGACGACTGACTGGCCGCTGAACTCCGACCCTTGGACCTGTTTGACTATTGGATTCGATGATTTTTAAGTTAAGGATTGGATTGAATTTATGAAACTCTTTCAAATTCAACTTTTAGGTTTTGCTTATAAGATTGAATGTACCATATTTAATTCGATGGTTAGTAAATAACACAAATATATATAAGACAAACGAATTAATCACAAATGTGACACGATATTTGCTATAGAATTACCTAAACTTACCCAAATCCATTCGTCCCATGGGTTTGTTGAAAACATTATATAAAGGTTTTACTTGTGGGCCTATTTTGAATACTCGGGCCTGAAATATCTAATTAAACAAGAAATAAGGTAATGCATTTGGACTATTTTGATAAAATTCACTTCGTGACTTCCACCTAAACACGTCAACCAAACATCCCCTTGGAGTTATGGTTTTGCATTGGGACTTTGTGATGGATTTTCAAAAAACAAAATGTATCTAGTAGGGCCCATCAGAACTATGAGGCCTGTGTGTGTGAGAGAGAGAGAGAGAAGGGGGAGGGGAGGGGGGAGAAAGGTGAATGGATTTGTATAGTGGATCAAGATCCCTTTCAATATGCTTACTCTTTAATTTTCTTTTTCTTTTTTACGGATCATCTAAAATGAATGAGAGATCCACTTTAATGATATGTAATTGGCTAAAAAAGAATTGTTTAAAAGAGATCTTATTCCATAAATAATGAATTAGTTTAAAACTATCAAATATGTGAAGTAGCACCAAACGTTAGATTAAACAGGAAAGGGCTAGTAGAACAACCCTCCAAAAAATTATGAAGATGCTTACTAAGGTGGTATTTGATAAAATTGAAAACTGAACACTGAAAATTGAATGTTAAATTTTAAGTGTTGAATGCTGAATTTTTTAATTCACATTCTGTTTGGTATCAACAGAAATTTAAATATTGAATAAAAGCAAATTGTTTGATAAATATAAAGAGCTGAAATCTAAAAATTATTATTATTCTAATTTTATCATTTCTTTTAACCATGTCTCTGCAACTATCTTATTCTTACCACCACATTCACAATGGTGGTGGTGACAACAATACAATGGTGGTGGTGATGGCGTAGACACAATGATGGTGATGACGACAGTGGTGATGGTGGCAACGACACAATGGTGATAGCGGTGGTGGTAGTGATGATGGTGATGGTAGTGATGATAATGGTAGTGGTAATAGTGATAGTGGTAGCGGTGGCACACTGGTAGTTGTGGTAACAGTGGCACAATGATGGTGGTGGTGGTGGTGGTGACGACAATACAATAGCGGTGACCGTGGCAGTGACAACGATGGTGGTGGTGGTGGTGGCAATGACACAATGGTAGTGGTGGTGGTAGCAACACAATGTTGGCGGCGACTGCTGCACAATAATAATAGTGGTGGCTGGTGGATACTGAAAAGTTAAGAGTGTAAAATGCATTGAAGGTATATTTGTCTATTATGAGAAATTAAAAAAAAATCATTGACTAACATTTTCAGTATTAAGTGATAAGTAGGTGGCTTGTTACTTAAAATTTTAACCTATTTTTAAGAAGTGCTTAAAATATTAAGTGATATGATTTTAGGTTATCAAACATGTTTAATTCATTAAGAGCTTAAAATATTCAATTTTAAGTCTTAAGTGGTGTTATCAAACAACCTCTAAGGTGTGATAAGAAAAGAAATTAGTCGCACACCTATCATATATTGAAATATTTTACTGTCATTATTGAGAATAATATGATTCTACATTAAAGAATGAGTTGGATATCAAATTAGCATAAGACATTGGACATTACTCGTCTTAATGTTTTGAAATTCTTTGATAAATCTTAATTGAAAAATAGATCACTTAATTTATGATGTGAATATCCATGATGATACACAAAATGGTTTATGCACAGTAATAAATGATGAGAGTCAATACAAACAAAATACAATTTAATTAATTCACAAAGTGACATACTCTACTGTGAAGGGCTAGGATGACCTGAGTATTTTATTGTTCAAAGGGCGTCGAGTGCTCAGATATGGGTGAGATGTAAGAGATGTTCTCCCTTGTGTATATAGGACTTACAATTTATAAACGTTTTCCTATAGATTGAAGCGATTTTCTTGTATCAGGTGAGGTAGTATGGTGGAGGTGGCGTCCTTCTCGTAATAGGTGAGACAATTCCGTGAAGGTGATGACGTGCGCGTCAAGGAGATCTCTTTGCCTATCAGTTATGGATTGAGTCTTTCGCCATGAAGTAGCTGACCTGACTCTCTCCCAAGATGGCACGATTGACCTATAACTTCCTCCTTCTTGTGGTGGGTCTGGCCTGCATTCTAAACTAGGTCTCGTTTGTGATTCTAAGCCTAGTTTGTAATTTGGGTCTGGTCTGGGTCGGGCCCATCATTTGCTCCCCATACCCCAAGCCCCATGAAATTTGGGGGAGAGGGCATTATCAAGGATAAAATTTGTCTCATGTTTTTTACCCTTTTCCTAAGCACTAACTGTGTCTTGTGTCCTTGCGGATATTGCTTTGAGATTTGAATTCCTGGGTTGGTGGACACTCTCTGTTAATGGAAACTTATCGTTGTTTTTGACTTTCTTCTGGGGAGCTTATCTATTGCCTTAAGTCTTTAGATATTGCTCCTTATCCCACTTTGATTAGGATTTCTCATTCCAGACCGTTTTGGCTATCTCCTTTCACCTTGATTACGAGACTTCATCCAAATCTTATTGAGATTTTCGCACTTGATTAGGAGGCTTCCAAATCTAAAACTTTGGCTATAAATAGGATTCCTTCACATCAATTCTCCCAACTCAGTCTAAGAAAGAACAGAGAGAGGTGAGATGTCGAGTGGATTGGGATTGAAGGATCAAGCTATAGATAAGGCGGGTCCAAGAGACACTGAGGCACTAGGGCCAAGGCCAAGCGGCTCAATAGGCAGGGGCGTCGAAGGCATGAACAAGGGAGGCTGGGCAGGAGGCGCAATAGGCAAAGGTGTTGAAGTCGTGGATGAGGGCGCCATAGGCCCTAAGGCAAGCGAGGGCACCAAGACAGCAGGTGAGGGCACCAAGAGGGGCACCAGGGGCGTCATGGCAGGCGCGAGTGCTAAGGTAATAGGCGAGGGCGCGGGTAGGGATGCGGGCAAGGGCAAAAGCGTCGTGGCAGTGTCAGACGCAAGTGCGGGAGTAGGCATAACAGACTAGGCACAGGTGGCAAACGCCGCAACGTAAGCATTTGGGCTAGGTGCCAGGAAGGAGTTGCACACGAAGCTAGGTGCTGGGCAAACAATGAGAAGTGATGGAGATAGTGTTCCCCCACATCCAAAACGACGCAAGTATTGTGGTAAGGTGGTTGCTGATGACGATGACTCTAAGGTAAGCTTTATTTCTAGCACCCTCAATATTGATGTTGAGATTACCAGATGAGCTGAGTCCTCAAGTAGAAGGGAATGCACTCGAACTACGTAGATGATAAAATAAGAGATCTCATCACCGAAACCAACTCCAAGTAATCTATTATCCATCTGCATCAAATACAACAAAAGTGCATTAGCATAATTGAAAAATTATTTACTAGAATAAACAGTAAATTAAGCATATATTTAGAATTGAAAATGTTTATCAAGATGAAGTTGTCTCGCTAGTCTCCTCATTGGCCCCATTGCGTTACATCATTAACTTCACTTCTGTCATTTGTTGCAACATTATCTCTTAATGCTTTTTCATATGCTTGAGTTTTTGCCTTAGTCTCATCCAATTCTCTTTGTCTAATTTCATTTTTACCCTAAAGGGTCACTACAATTGCCTTCAAACTTCTTACTCCATACTCATGTGTAATAGTCTTGGCCACCTTTGTTAAAAAATAAAGTAGGTAGTCAACCAAATTTTGTTGTCATTTTAATGACATCACAAATAAACAAAGCAACGAACAAACATATTAAGTATTGCTACAATTTTAGAATTGTTCACCCAAGTGTAGGTTATGCGAAGTAATATAATACTCAGAAGTCCGAAGTCGAACCACAGAGAATTGAGAAAAACATAGAACACAAAGAAAAATAAAAGAAAATTATTTTGAAAAAAATTGTTGTAGAGATTTTGAAATTAGAAACAATAAATTTGATTTTTAAAATAATAATTGAAATACTAAAGTATTAGGGATATCCTTTCAAATCCACATAGTAATTATTAATGATACAATTTTTGAACTCAATTGAGAATCAGCTGAGGAGTGATCACAATCGGAATATTTAGCGGTGATAATATGAAAACATCAAAAGTTATAATTAATTAATTATCTGAATAAATATAAAAATTTATTTGTAGATCACAAGCATTCATTGTGCTTGGAATCTACGATAAATCAGGCTTTCCAACAGATAAACCTTATTTTATTGTAAATAATAAATCAACTATCTTATGAAAAATTTTAACTAATTAATGAAGTATGGAATAACCAGTTATTTGAATCGCAGTGAATTTCAAGCATTCGATGTACATGACACAACAACTCAATAAATTATACAGAGTAAAAACTACAATAAAAGACAAGAATTAAATTAAAAAATAAATCATGCATTAAAAAGAATATTGAATCAATAATAAATATTGTGCTTTATTGAAAGTATTTTCCCTAGCTTTAATTGAGCTTTTAGCAAGTCATAGAACTAGTACAAAAACTAGAAAAGAAAATATGGGAAGAGAATAATAATCTTTCAAAAGATAAGAACCCTTATTTATGCTAAAATAAATCATAAATATAACGTTGGTTTGGGAGGAATTCCTTTCTAAAAAAAAGTCTTTTACGGTTAAATCACATGCATAAAATTTTAGGCCCGCAGGTACAAAATCTGTCTAAACTTTGCGCTTGAATTTCGCATATTTAGAGGTTGAATCACGAATTTTTCGTGAAACATTTTTGTAGCCCTTGAAATCTTATTTCCAACCCTATAAAAACCAGGTCAATTCGATATCGAAATCAAAAGTTATGACAAAAATACTGAAAACATGTCAAATTTTTATCTTCTGGGATATTTTCCTAATTCAACTTTAAATGAATTTTCTTTTAACTTGAACTCTTATAATGATTAAATTACCACCTTATCTTCAAATTTTCCATTCTTAATCTAGATTCTTCAATTCTAATCAATTGTGATTCTTTTTCTAGTAATTGTTTCGCTTGTTTTATCCATTATTGCTTTAAAAAGTAAATCAAGCAACTAGAAAAAGTATCAAACTAGAAAATTAAGGCATCTAACACATTTAATCATAAATAATATGCAATTAACCAATTATTAGACATAATAAAATAACACTTTTGATGGTTAATCAAGTATACTATCAAAATCAGTCGATGGTGATTGGCAAGAGCAAGGAAAAAATGCATTGCAATTCATAATTAAAATTCAATTAAAATAGAAAGTAAGAAAAGAAGGAAGGGAGTCCTTAACAATTATCAAAGGGTTTAGAGCCCAATTCAGATAAATCTAAATATTATCACTCTAAACTGTAACCTGTTAAAAATAGATACTAAGCAGATTCCAATGAAACTCTTTAAGAAACTAAAAAAATATTACAAATTTATAAATATAAAAAACTATACTGTTAAGGAAGTGACAACATGAACGATCAACAAATAAATTGGGGGAATCAACACACACACACAACGCAGAAAACAAACAAAACGCACTCAAAGAGAGATGGAGAGTGAGAAATACCATGATTGAGGTAGAAGGTGAGTGAGAGACTAGTTTCTGACTTCGGCGATGACCGGCATTGATATGTGTGTGTTGGCGAGTGTAGGTAGAGACAAAGATTAGGGGGGAAGGCATGTTAGAGTTTTTTTATGTGTGTGTAATTGGAGGTTAATGGGCTGCATCAGATAGGTATGTAAGAGAGAGAGAGATGGTAAAAAGTGGGAGAACGTGTGTTTAAATTTTAAAACGTATGAGAAATAGGAGTATAAGATAGAGAGAGAGAGAGAGAAAGAGTTATATTAGAGACAAATGTCTAAGAGATATGTGCTTAACCTTAAAAAGTTACCTTACACACACACACACACATATATATAACGCTAATTACATTAATTAAATAAGTTAATAAGTTGAAAATAGATAATATTATTATTAATGGGTGGAAAGTTTGATATTTTGAAATTATAGGACCAAATGAATGAATTTAGAAAGCTAAAGGACCAAGGAGCAAAAAGTTGGAAAAGTTTTAAAGAAGACCTCCACCGTCCGAACGCCCATGCATCAACCGAATGTCCATAAAAATTCCAAGGTTAACAATCGCAAAGGGAGAACCCAGAAAGCTACCACCGTCCAGATGATGGTGGCTAGCGTCCGAACGATACAAACTGCCTTGCAGTCTTGCTTCTCCACCAAGTTATAAAAGGCTGCCTCCTATTGGACTCCTTTGCTACCCTTGCTGCCCAAGGAATTTTATAAATACCCCCTTTTTCCCAACATTAGGAGGTCCAAAAATTGGAAGAAATTTTCTCTCTAGTTACACTCTCTCTTATACATTTCTTTACTTACTCTTTTTACTTTGAGGGTTGAACCTCTCTCACTTTTCCTAACCTCAACTTGGCCAAAAAGGGTGGTGGTGTTTCAATTTATCATTGGGAAGGAGTTTAGAGCTATTGTTTTGGTTTTCAATTCTCTTGTATTACATTTTCAACCTTGCTTAGAGGAATGAAGTTCTCCCCATTTTCTAGTTTGTTTATAGTTATGAAGAGTGAGTAATTTTTCATTTGCTCTTTAGTGAGGGGGAAAGGACTTGTGTAATATTGCTTGAGATATGATATTATGTACTCTTTTCTTTACTCTTTATTGTTGTAAACCTCCCTTAAATAATGAATGATACTTTCCTTTAGTGTAAGTACTTTGTATTACTAAGTGTATAACTTAGGTTATGCTCATGGTTCATGCAAGTACCAAGCTAGGTTTCATTTTCATTTTCATTCCATCTTTACTATTTCATGTACTTCAATGTATGATTCAATGACTTACTAAGTTGGGCATTATGTGAAGATTAAGAGATTGCGTATAGATGAGTTAAGTCTCGCCATATCTAATTTTTTGATTCTAAGCATAAACTGGAGCTATGTTCTTCATTGAATCATAGACCTTCTGATAACTGTCAAAGTAAACTATTGAATGGTTATTTGCACCTTCTAGTTTGCCAAGGTATTTAGTTGTTGTATGGTGCATAGGTCTTCTAGTAAACCTGACGGTTGTTATGTTTTGATATATAAATAACTTCCAATTGACTTACCGTTGACACAAGGGTTAGTTGTAATATGGTGACACTATCATCAACTCAAGCAAAGACACATGTTCCAATTCCTGAACTAAAGAGCACATTTTTAATTTATTGAAAGTAAAACATGTTTTTAGGTATTCCCTTTTTCAATCACTAAGAACACACCAAAATTCACTTTTTAATGATATGTCTCTAGGTTTAATTCACCTTTTCTGTTTAAAGTTCTCACATATAGCTCCATGAGGAGTCGACCTCAGATTCTATCAAGATATATTATAATTTGACCACTTATACTTGAGTGTGTACAATTAAGATCAAGTCAATAAGAATATGTATGTGAATGAGTGAGTGATAAAGAGAAAGAAAGAGAGAGATAATAGAGAATGGGAGAGTGTGTTTAAATTTTAAAATATCTGAGAGATGGGAGTATGAAATAGAGAGAGAAAGGGAGAAAGAGAGTTATATTAGAGATGAGAGTGTTAGACTTACAAAATAAATAAAAATCTTCCTCAAAAAGTTGGACAAGAATTTTTTTTTTTGTGATCAATTAGGACCGTCATATGAAATCTTAAAGTGATCTCGAATGCGAAAAGTTAAAGATAAACAATGTTAGCTTCCTTATTATAGGAGTATGAAAGAAAGAGAGTTATATTAGAAATGAGAGTATTAGAGTTGTAAAAAAAATAAAAAGTTTTCCTCAAAAGTTTGGGCGAGAAAAAAAATTTTGTGATCAATTAGGACCGTCAGATAAATAATCTTAAAGCGATCTCGGCATGAAAAAGTAAAGACAAACAATATGAAATGTTCAAAGCTACTAATAAAAAAGTTAAGCATCCTCTTCCAACCGGCACCAGTGGTCTAGTGGTAGAATAGTACCCTGCCACGGTACAGACCCGGGTTCGATTCCCGGCTGGTGCAAACTTCTTCCCATTTTTTGCCTCCTTACTGGTAGTTAAACGGGATATCACTAAACCCGAACAACTTTATCTAATTTTAGGTTGCAAATAAACAGTAACCAAACATCGTATAAATTCACCCTAAACCTGAACCTGAACTCTTCTCGATCCTTTTCGCCTCCTTAGAACCCTTCGTAGTATTCACTTCAGTTCTCAGCAAAACCCTAATTTTCTTTTTCGAGGAAGGAGTTCTCACCTCTCGGCCAACATGGTGCTCTCTCTCTCTCCAAGTTAAAGTTTTGATACTTTGTTGCTTTCTTTATTCTCTTGTTTATGATAGATATTTGTAACTTTTATGATATATAAATAAATTTGTATGTATGATATGGATTTATCGATATAGACTGCAGAAGCTGTGAACCCAAAAGCGTATCCATTGGCTGACTCTCAGCTGACCATAACTATACTGGACCTTGTTCAACAAGCTGCCAATTACAAACAGCTGAAGAAGGGTGCTAATGAAGGTTATTATTTTATTCAATCAATTGTCTTGATGTTGTTTTCTTAATCGTTTTTTGATGATTGAGTTTTTTTTTTTCTATATTTTCAAATGGGTATTTGATTTTAGCCACTAAGACACTGAACAGAGGAATTTCGGAGTTTGTGGTAATGGCGGCGGATACTGAGCCTCTTGAAATCCTTCTTCATCTTCCACTCCTTGCTGAAGATAAGGTAAGATTGTTCTGTAATGTTTTGTTTAATTGTATGTGCTCTGCTTTTGTTAGTGTGAGTACCTGTTGGTTTTATTGTTTTACCCTTTGTTGAATAGAGGGAGGTTATATAGAATGGTACTCTACTCCACTCAACGGAGCCTTATTCCAATTATTTTGGGGTTGGCTATACGAACTCTATTCCGCTATTGTGTTCTATCAAAGGCCGTATACAACAGTGAATGGTGGAAATGTCAAAAATTAGTTCTTTAAAAACCAATTTGTCTATAATTGAGAGAAAGTAATTGAGTTTGAGTTTAAGACATGCTAAACAGCCATATTCATTGGTCGGATGGTATATTCAAAAGGGGGGATAGCTTGAATAAGATTTTACACTTTCTATTACTGTGGGAGGTATGATTTTGCACAAGTTTGACATCTGTGGTTTTTTTGAAGTTTTCTGGGAATGATAGAATTAGCACAAATAGAGATAACCCCAACTTTGTTGTGAGTGAGATATTAAGAAAGGATACGATAACTTTTGGTTTGACAAAAAATGTGGTCATTGACAAAGCACAATGATGGACCATGGTTCTTATAGCTGGCCCTAAATTGGGTTGAGTTACGATAGATTAGATGGTAGAACTTCATTGAGTCAAATGGTTACTTTCTTTGACAATTTGAATGCACTTATGGCCTGGAATCTGCAAAGTGTAAGTCTGGTTCACAGGTATTATTTGGGTGTTGTTTCTAAGTAACTATATTTTGATAATATTCCAGTGTCGCTGAACTTATATGTCGCTCATAATCTCCGTGTATGTACCCTATCATCACGTGCCATTGTTAAGGGACAAGGGACTAATGTACACATCCCAATACTTGGCTAAGAAACTCTATCCTTCCCCTTTTTATCTACATATTTTTTGAGACTGACCGAGGCTTTTGGTTGGTTTTGAAATGTTTTTTGAATTATGACAGAATATAAGTTTTGTAATGTTTTTTGCATTATGACAGAACATTGGGCAAGAAAATTGAACTTGATTAATTTAGCAGTTTTACTTTGTCTTGAATTGCATGTTAGGCATATGCTGCATATCCAATTTCTACGGCACATCTGCAGGATACACGGCAGTTTGTTATCGATATTTGTGGCTTAGTAGACTTAGCTATGTAGGATTACCATCATTTGTCAAGAAATCTGATCTTTTAAAATTTATTTGTACAGAATGTGCCCTATGTTTTTGTGCCTTCAAAGCAAGCTCTTGGTCGAGCATGTGGAGTTACAAGACCAGTGATTGCTGCTTCTGTGACAAGCAACGAGGGAAGTCAGTTGAAATCTCAAATACAGCAACTCAAGGTGAACTCTCTATTGAGTTTATTATACTGCAAGGGCAGCGCATACTGCTTTTTCCTCTAATGGTCATATTCTGATTATAAAATGTAATATTGTGAAATGCAGGATGCCATTGAGAAGCTCCTGATCTAGAATTGTAAAGCCCTTTCAGCATGATGGGCCTCTGGATTTCGAGACTGGACACATTCAACGCTTGGACTGAACCTAGTTGTCTAAGTAGGGAAATGTCTACTTGCTTTTGTTCTCTCTTTGTAGCTCTATCCACTTCTTGATTATCATACAACTTTGTGGAGAAGTTCAGTAGTGTAGTTTTGAGTAAGTACCTGTGTGATGAGCTTTTTGATTATGTGATACGATTTATATGCATTTCATGGAGTTCATTTTGGAGTAGTTCTCCCTCGTTGTGAGTCATTTAAGTCAGTTATCCAGTTTAGTTTGTGGTGCTGACTGGGAACTTTACACTGCTTATTTCATGGTTCATTTTCAATTTATTCTCTATGATGTGGTAAATAGATACATGAAATCACCACCTTTCATCGAGCTCTACAAATTTTTCGATATTTTTCTGCATTGGCTGAATCAAGACCTAATGTTGACTTTGTATATGAGGAGGAGGCCGACTTGACCATCTCTAGTTCATCACAGGGTAGTGACTCGGGCCTTGAGGATACTGTGTTCCAAGAATTCTACAAATAATGAGAGATTGTCCCAAATAATGGAGTGGAGGTGCTCCTTTTCCTGTGGCAGATTCATGAACTGCATCCAATTAACCAGCTGAAACCTGAAACTCCAGCATTCTTTCTACCAGCAACACCATCCCCACTCCCCGTCTCCCCCCAACCCCAAAACAAACAACCCCCCCCCCCCCCCCCCGCCCCCAAAAAAAAAAAAAAATCTCACACCCACCCCGTACCCACACACACGTGCACACATATATTTGGTTGCTGTCGGAATTGCCTTCCTTTGCATCTTAGCTCTCTGTTGGTATTTCGTCTGCATGCTCCCATATTGATTGCTCCACTTGAATCCTTGGCTTGATTTTTAATACACAGGTTGGTTATTATGCTAAAATCCGTCAACAGTGCTTAGCTTGAACTTAAAAAGCTTTAATTTTCAATAATGAATCTGAATTAAGGCCAAGGGAGTGAAAATATAGTGAACCTCTAACATGGTGACAGCCACTAGTCTCTTGTGTGTGTGTGTGTGTATAACTTTTTGGAAACAGGGATTTGTCCCAACGATGAATTTCTCCATGCTCAACGTTCCTATGTACTCATTGCTGCAAGAGAAACCTCAAATGCATGTAATTACATGCATTGGTTAAATTCAAATTATAGGCAGCCAATGAGATATGAAATCAGGATCTTTCACTAATGACATGATTATTAAAAATCTTGTATGGCCTGCAAGATGAATTAATCTTCTACACGGATCTTGGTTTTCAATTTTAATGACATGTTCACCATTTGAATTATGTCATCAGTGGCATCAGCTTCGAAGCTACTTGTAACAGGGTTCATGAGACCTTACTCCGTTGCTTCCTTGTCGAAAATTTGCTGGATTTTTGGGGCTGTCAGTGCACGTGCAACTGAAGAACAACACGTTGCCCTGTTGGTTGGTTCAACCATTGTGGATTCTGATTCATAAGCTGGCACTGGACTGCCAGCAAACAATATCTGTTTAAAATGAATCACAAACCTAATGGACAACCCACTTCACGAGGTCCTCAACATTTCATGATAAAGAGTATGTAGAGAATTAGATTTACACAACTTTACTCCCGCATGTGAATATACTCTTTCCTTGACTTGCACTAGTAACGCACCAACCACAATAAAACAATTTTATCACTGCAACAGTAAACCGTCACCCTATGCAATCAAAATTCAATAATGCAGGGACAGTAACTGACAAGAAGACCTTGTTTATCAAATGGAACTCTTATGTCCTCTTGACTCAACACCATTGTTTCCCATATGATGGGCATACACTTGCTTAACTTTCTCAATTAAAGATTTATGCAGTAGCTGCTTGATTAAGAAATACTAAAGCTGCCCCCATGTCTCTGATTTGCAAAACAAGCCACCATGGATGTAGCTTAAAGAAATTCCAGGATGAAATCAGAAGTCAGAGATTCTACCAAACCATACTGATGTGCATATATCACCAAGAAGACAGCGAAACACTCGCATGCTAAGCAAAGTCTGCAACCACCATATCATCAAAAACCCAACAATCCAGATTCACCAGACACCAGTAAATAATTTAATGCGTCGATAAATGATTTGATGTATATTCTTTGGTGCTTGATAATAGAGCAAGAAAGCATTGGAAATTCATTGTCTGGTGAGATTCTGGAGTGACACTTTTGCCCCAGATGTTTAGAGACAAGATGGCCACCTGTGATTTTTAACCTTAACACAATGTTGTTATGATAGTTTGATGAGAAGATTTATTAACAAAAAGCTAGCCTATAAAAGTTTAGATATTCCTATTACAAACATTATGTTGGATTCTTGCTTGATTCTTTCATCATTTCTCTGTGGCTTGTAGAATCAAACACTGTTTTCCTAGTGCTCTGGGAAAACGCGGCAAGTAAAGTGCTTTAAACGAGTTTATTTTCCACGATTATTTTTAGTTGTAACATAGATCTCTATGAAAGTAAGAGAAAATTCTGCCGACTTTTTTTCCTTTCTTTTAGGTCTTAAATGGATCATTTCTTAGCAACACAACTTGGGTCAAGGAAAAATTAACATGAAATGGCAACTTATAGTCAAAACAGATCAAGTTATCCTCTCATCTTCCTGCTAATTACAGATTTATGGGAAACAGAGCCTCCATTTTCAATTCAATTTTATAATGATTCGATGTTGATCACAGTACAATTTTATCAATAAACATAGTTCAGACCGTGTTCCCTTGATTGAATTCCCCGTTGTATTTCGAATATTCAAAAGCTTACACGTTCAGCTCTGTTGATATCCCCCATTCTACAGACAACCCCATAAACACTAAGCATTTGTTAAATTCTGAAATCTAACAAAGGGAAATTTCCATCAAACAACATGGTTCTCTAATCTTCGAGAGCTAATCCCTATATAAAAGGCCTAAATGCAGTGTCTCTAACCTGCATTCCCTCAACTTTCACTGAGCATTTTGAACTACCCTTAATTCAAAATGGCTCAGTTTCTTCTTCTTTGCCTAATCTTAGCTGATGCTTTTGTGATTCTAGCCACAGCTAATGAAACAGTTCATGCCATGGTTGAGCCTGATATGGCATATTCCTCCAATCCACCGGTTCCTAGCCCATCAAGCACCGGAAAACTGGTGACAGCTGAAGCGCCTGTTATACGAAAACTGGGGAAGCACCAGCAGAGAATAGTGAAGCCCTTTGCTGCAGCACCAAATTTGAGTCCATCGGAAGCGCCTCAAAGTGAAGAGAATTTGCAGTCTGCAAATGAGGTCAGTTCTTCAGGTGGGCAAGAGATTCAGTTAAAGAAGCTGCAGCATCATCCGATCGATAAGTCCATTGCTGGGGGTGGAGTGATCCTTGGTGGCCTAGCAGCCACATTCTTGGTGGCAGTTTTCCGTTACATTCGAGCCACTGGGACTGGAAGGAAAAATGCAGAACCTAGTGCCTAAGTTAGTGGATGTCTAGTATGTACATACATGGGTGTGACATTGCAAGCCACCCCTTTTGATAGATACTCAATAGAAAATTTTCACAGAAGTTTTGCAAGCATCATTGTTCATAAATCAATGAGATAATTAATCCATTTTAATCGAATTATCAACTATAATGACACAACGGCACAGTGCTAAGATTCTGCCCAACTTGCCCTAGGTTTTTTTTTTAGACGGTTAAGAGTGTTCGGAGCCAACGTACGCCCATCTCAACTAATTTCCTTTCCGATACGATCGAAGAGAGACAAACTTGCCATAGTTGTCTCAATGACTATGATCCATTCAAATTCGAACAGATTGTATTGGGCCGAACGGAGCCTTGGCAACAGCCCGGGATGGTATGACAGCCCATGATTTTTCAGCCCATAGCCATTAGTGGGCTGGACCTTTGGACTTTGACAAGTCAACAGGCCGGACTAGGCCCACCCATGGAAAAAATTTAAGGCCCATGGCCCACTCATGGGTTGGTCTATTGGGCCAAAAATGGGCTAAATATGGACTGTACTTTTATGGGCCGTTATTTGGGCATTAACGGGCTTTTTTATTAAAAAAAATACTTTTTATGTAAAAATTACAAAAAAGACATCAATTCATAAAATTAGATTTGAAAAATAAATTAACAAAAAATTTATTCGTATTAATTGAATTTAACAAATATTCATTAAGAGTTACAAGGTTACATTGATTTATGGGTGAGACTATTACATCACTACAAATTAAGTACTCTTTCCGTTCCTAAATATTTGTCGTTTTACACAATTTTTTTTGTTCCATAATATCTGTCATTTAATGAAACTAAAACATAATTAATATTTTTTCTTCCAAATTTAGCTTTACCTTTTCAATGCATTAGATTAAATGGAGGCTAAGTGTCTTTCATATTCATTTTTTTCCCAATAGGTATTGAATAAAAGTATTTTAGTCTTGTACAATTATTTTTTATTCATATTAAAACTATTTAATAGTTTCTTTAATCCCTATGCAAAAACCTTAAACGATAGATATTTAGGAAAGGAGAGAGTACATTTCATCTAGGTTGGTATCTACACAATTATCAATCATTAACTAATTGTCAATCATTTGCAAGTCTCAACCTATTAAAAGTTATAGATTAAATATCAAATCAGCAATATAACTGTGATATATAATTTGTTGGGCTAACGAATTTCTTAACATGCTATCAATTTGGGCCTCCGAACCAAAAAAATCAATCCAGCCTACCCATCTGTCCATTGGGCCTCCGAGTACTGCCACTTGCACGGGCTGGGCAGCCTATTAGCCTATTGGGCTGTCAAGCTTTGGACGACCCATTAAGCTTTGGACTTTTTGCTAAGGCTAGATGTCTAACGGGGATCAGGGTGTACTAGGACTGATAAACTAGGTAAAGTTCAACTCGATTTTATTTTAATTCGTTCAGGCCGATTGAAATTACAAAATGAATTAAATTTGTGCAAATTCAACTTATTTATAGGCTAATTTTGTAAATAAGCCGAATCTAAGCAGCATATGATTAAACTCTATCTAACTCGACTCAAATAGGATCTTATTTAAAAATAATTCTAATTTTAATGAAAACAATTCTTATGCCAAAAGATGAATAGCCCCAAACGTATCCCTTAATAATTTCAGGTCAATCTTACTTCTCTTCCTTGAAGATTTTTTTAAAATTACACTTCTAGAATTTGTTTTCGTAGTTGATTTATACATGTTTTGGAGATTATTATTGAGAAATTAATTTTTTAGAATTGATTATTAAGTTCTAAGATCGAATTTTTTGAATTTGTTATTAACAAGTTGAGCTCAGTTTTGACTCCCGACAGTTAATAGTTAGAACTCAAACTCCTTTACCCATAACTAAACCGAGTTTTAACATACTCAAACTCTATAAATTCTGACCAAAAAAAAAAAAAACTCTATAAATTCAACACCATTAAAACCCGTAAGCTTGTTTGGGTGTTGAATGGGGATTTTCCACCTTTGTCCCTCTTCATATTGCACATGTTATAATTAATTAGGATTAATTGCACCGTAGGTTCATAAAGTATATAATTTTTTTTATTTTAATCCATAATATTTTAATTGTATTATTTTAGTCCTTAAAATATTAAAATATTTTTCTATGACAACATACAAATTATTAACTGTTTTTTTTATCATAAACTTGTCATGTGATATGTAAATGTGGAAAAAAAAAAATTTGAATAACACTTGACAAAAAAATGTGTAATATGAGTGATTTTGACCAAAATTTGGATAGTTCATGATCAAAACTATGTAATTTGGATAATTTTTTGACCAAAATTTAGGTAAAAATTTGGTTAAGAGTTATACAAATTATTTTTTTACTCATATTACATGACAAATTTATAGTTAAAAATCGTTAACAATCTGAACGTTGTTTATTAATTGATCATATAGAAATATATTCAATAATTTAGAGACTAAAATAATGCAATAAAAATATGAATGACTAAAATAAAACAAATACCATATTTTGAGTACCTCTAGTGTAATTAACACTAATATGACCTAAAAGAGATAAATCATTCCGCCATAAATTTTTCTGATTCGGGTTCCGGAATCAGTTTTATAAAATGTCTGGTCCGAAAATGCAATGCAACTAATTGTAAGGGGTTGAGTTGCGCCCAACTCAGTCTGGAACCTCCCCCGTCAGCCACCACCGTCACGTACTCTAATATTAGTCGGTGACAACTGTTCAGTTCGCTTCAGAAACCGCAACAATTCAAGAATAGTCTCGTAGTTCAGTGTCACCACAGAACCAAAATCAATCGACCATACTGTAGAATCGAGAAAACAATGGCGACGGAACAATCAGTAATGGCGGTGATGAGGGCATCACGACCCACCTTCAAAAAGCCTCACGATAAAGTGGTCTTCTTGGTCCACGCCTCCTTTCTCGCCTCTGGCTACGTTCTGAAAGCCGTAGGTCCCGCCGCTTTCGCTGACGATGCTCTGACGTCCACTCTCAGGGGTAAAACTTCACTATTTATCTTATAAAGATGCACATGCGACTATGTAATTTGTTTTTTCGGCAATTAGATGAGGTGCGTATTGAGAGATGGAACGAATTTGAGGACAACTATGCGTTCCTTTATTCACATCCTGAAAAGGGTTCGAAAGTGTTGGTGAAGGTTCTCGCTATCAAAGATAAAGTGCTCGTCGATGCTTTGAGTGAAGGCAGTTCTGACCCAATTCATCTTGAAATCAAGTGTGTATTTATCACATGTTTGTTTTATTGTTTTTTTGATAATTTCTTCTAATCGAGTAATTGAATAACTATGAAACTGTTTGTATATGTGTCGGGTTTTTGGCGCGATTCTGCAGTGTTGGGGACTACGTTGGAGAAAATGGCGTAGCCAATTATGATTCACAGTTCAAGGATTTGAGGAAGCTGGTGAGTGTCGTGGATAAAGAGATTTTAAGTAAATTGAGTGGTCCTTCAACAGCAAATCCTTCAATTCAATATCCAAGGTTATCAATTACGTGTCCCCATGTGATGGAGGTGCAATAGTGTGATAAAACAGGAAGGAATATTAGGATGATTTTATTGGTGAATGATAGAAGTAGCACCAATGGAAGATATACCGAGAAACGACTAACATGTTTTAAGCAAAACGAAAGAAGAGCTATAAGAGCAACTCCAACCCAGCTCAAACTCCAATCTAGCTCAACAAAATGGTTAGCCAAAATATATTTAAATATTATATTCTCTACTTTTGGTAGTCATTTTTTCAAATTCACTTCAATCACATTTTTATTTTAGTTAATTATTTCAACTAATTTTTAATAATATAATTCAAAAATACCATGTGCCCTAACATGTCAACGCCATAATGATGATGTGGATAATGGGGCGAAGGTGGGGGATGTGAGTTGCAGAATTGGCGGGGAAGGGAGAGATCTGCAACTTGGGGGTTGGGGGATGAAGAAGAACCTGGCAGTCGTTGGAGAAGAAGCTGAAGAAAAATGCGCGAGTAGTCTGGTGTGCTTTTTCTCCCTCTTTAGATCTGGCGAGTAACAAGGATCTCCTCGGTTTTAGCTAGTAAAATGGCTAGCCGATTGGAACATTTTTTTCAAGCAAGCCTCGTCAAACTAGCTAAAAATGAAGATTTAGCTAGTGGGTTGGAGATGCTCTACCTACACGAATGGGAAAGAACAATGTGATACTTATTGGTAGTAATGCTTGGAGTAGAGATTGACCAAAATTGATATTAACTGTGCTCAACTTTGTAGAATTGTTGGTGATCAAGGCTTTTTTAGAAGTTTAGGGTTTTGATGGGTACTTTTTTTAAGCCCTACTTGCAATGGAGGCATGAACCCTTTTTGTCATTTTCTGTTTGTTTCTTATTATTTTTTTATTTTTTTGTTGTGTTTGTTTTTTTTTTTTTTTTGGGGGGGTGGGGGAGTGTAAGTAGTAAGTACCTTTGTAATCATCTTGAGATTGTCTTATTTAAGCGATGGTTTGAATCTTCTTTATAGGTAGGTTACTTATTCATGATGTATAAAGTGATCTTTCCGTATTCTTAACCAAATTGTTTTGTAAGTCTTGCATAGCAAGGACCTTCTCTGAAAAATTTGATTACTTTGCTATACTGGAAAGTTTAGATTCTTTTGGTCTAATTGTTTTTTTTGACCTTTGATATTTTGTCTTGTGATATTGTATTTGCAGTTTGGAGACAATAGAACCGAGAGAAATTGAACTTCAAGGCCCTCAACCTTTTCATCCTTCAGGGTATGGATTATTTAGTTGTTGCCATATATGATTGCTGCCTAGGTGGTTTTGATTCTTGAAGTCTCAATTTACTGTGGAGCATGATGCAGGATAAATATTGTAAAACGAGTTCTATGGTACTATAAGGAGAAATATAAGGACTTCAAAATTTAAAATTTTAGACTGTTGTAGTAAGTTGATATTTTATCACATCATGATTAAATTTTTGGGACATTATGTGTGGGATGGTTTGCTATTAATAATGGATTTTTTTTATTCTGGCCCTACATGATATCCAAAATCATTTGTTTGTTGTTCTGCGTCCAGGCAGTGACTTATTGATTCTGACTTGACCCAAATTTATACCAATCAGAACATTAAAGATTGAAGCAAATCATTTTAGCTGTACTTTTGGGATTCCTAGATTTTTGTTCATAAGCCAAACTGATGAAGTTGGGTTGTAACATTGCAAGATAATAAAGAAAATGAATAATAGATAGATTCTTAGGATTAGCGTGGTTGCATAGTTGCATCATTAGAAAGGAGTAATGCGTACTTACCACCCATCCACTTAAAAGAGTATTTGATTTTTAGATGGAGGAACTGGAAGGGCAAGAAGAGTATTTGATTTTTTGCACATAATACTGTGACGTTCATTAAGGTATGAGCTCATTTCTTCTGTCCGTGGTTCACAATGTAGGGTGGTTGTTCCTCCAGTTTATCCAACAGTTGGTTGTAGTGATCTCCTCCCTGGGCCTGGTGCTGGAATATACCCTATTAGGTTCTTCACAGCCCCTGATTTTTCACTGCTTTCATTAATGAGTTGCACTTTTTGGAGCACACAATTTCCTTTAGTGGAAGCATTTTACCATTTGTTACTTATTGTTTCAACTGTCTTTCAGGGGTGGTTTTGGTGGCATGCTTGTAGGTTAGTACAATGTGTCTCGTTTTCCATTTGATTGAAAGAAAAAAACTTGCTGATCATTATCATGTGCAAGCAGGACCCAATGATCCTCGTTTTTTTGGTGGGGTAGGCGGAGAGCCTGGTTTCCCAGTAGGACAACAGCTCTCTCTCTCTCTCGCTCGCTTAAAGACAATTATTAGTGCTAGGTTTCGATATTAATGGATTTATTGAAGCAGGGGTGCTCGATTTGATCCCTATGCCCCCCCTGGTGTTCCTGCTTTTGAGCCTAATCCATTTGTCAGGTATTTTGCAACGTATGACTCTAGTTCTCCTTACAGTTGATCAAGTATAGTTTTAGCTGTGAATTATTTCTGTATGCAAATTAATGTTTCTTGAGGTGATGTGGAAAGCCTTAGAATTAAGCATAGGGTCTAGTTCAGAGCAGAATTGAAAGTGTTTAGTCCATACCACTATACCAGGATTTATCCCTCCCTCACCCCAATAAATAATACTTCATCTTCTTGGGTTTCCAAATAAATGTTCTGGCTAAATGTAAACACTATGATGAATAGCTAAGTTGTTTAATTATTATTTCTTTTTACGACCACCACTATCACCACCACTACTGTGGAAATGATCCTTTTAAATTCTACCTTTTAGAAAAAACATTTATTCTAGTTCTGGGATGGCCAATGGAGTTGCTTGGCTTTGGTCCTTCCCCATCCCTAGTATGTCTGTATTTTTGTTAGTGGGCGCTTTACAACTTACTGGTCCAGTACCTTTCTTGCTTTCTTCTTCTATTTTCTTTGTTTGACATATATTTTTTCATTGTGATGTTGTGCGAAACCCACCTGGCCGTGGAATTCAT